TGGAAATTTATGCATTATACAAACAGAGTACTGTAGGGGATACGAATATACGTAAGTAATTCCTCATAGTAGAGGTGCTCATGCGGAAATTTTGGTCTTTTGGCGGAAATTTATTCAAGCGTGGGAGAATAATATACCGAGTGCGTCTCAAAAGTGGTTCATCCCCTATAACTCTTTTATTTTTTTAGATAAAAAACGAGATTTGGTGTGTTAGTATATGACATAAATTGGATTGTTATATGACAAAAGGATAGATTGACGTATTCAATTGTTTTTGGTCACTTCCTGTTTCACCGGAAATGACTATAACTTTTGATTTTTAAATGGCACCCTCGAAATTTTTTTCTTTATCCGCTAGAAAATGACACTCTGAATAGAATGACGTATCATATGTAAACTTGTGATATTCTCGCTTAATAAAATATCGAATTTTAAATTTCAATCTAGAGTGCCATGGCTGCGTTAAAAACACCAATTTTTAATCAAGGAGTCTTGGAAAAATAGTTTTGATTGTGTAACGTTTTTATAGTCCTGTCCTGGCCGGTTAAAATGTCCAGATCGAATTTTTAATCATATCTCAATTTTTTCAAATGGTTCCATTGAGGGTGGGTCATTAGCATATTTGGAAAAAGCATTTTTTACGAATAATTTTATACCACACATTTGGTATTTCGAGTCATATTGTCGTTATGAACTGCATTTTACAATTGCAAATAAACCATATGCAAAAATATCAAAAGTTAACATATGATATGTCATTACCGAAGGTGCCATTTAAAAATCAAAAGTTGTAGTCATTTCCTGTAAAACAGGAAGTGACCGAAAATAATTGAATATGTCAATCAATCCTAATTTTAGTCATATACTAACCTAACATACCAAATTTCGTTTTCTTATCTGAAAAAATAAAAAAGTTATAGGGGCGAGACACTTATGAGACGCACCCTGTATACCGGTTGATTTTCTCATGGGATTATAATATCTAGTAGACGGTTTGATTGTTAGCAGTAACTTCAAAATTCTGCCATATTGGTTCTGCAATCAAGAAAATTTCAAACTAATTCGATAAAAAAGCAATGAACTAACATTATAAGCAACGATATGGTAGGCATACGGTATATTTAAAAAAAATTGCATAAATTTTAGTTTCATTATTACTTTTGACCAGTTCACAGTACAATAAACCCTGATTAATATAATATAACAATTAATACACGATAAATTAAAACAATAAAGTTATATTAAAATGTTAAAAATTTCATAAATTTTATTGTGACCCCACATGCATAAGGTTGAGGAGATACAAAAAAATACAATGGACTGGAATATTAGATACAAGATAAAATATTACAGACATACGATTTTGTTTAATTTCTCACTGATATTTTCCTATTAATCTGTGACTTAGTAATTAGAGTGATTAACAATAAAATTAAGCATTTAGTAATGCCAAAATGAAAGTGTGTAGTGTAGTAGCTAATGAGTGTAACATATGCAGTACAAATCTTAAACTTAACACTTTTTCAACTGCCTTTAATTTCCCTTTTAAAGTAAAGTCTGTTCATCAGACCAACCAGTCAGGGAAGAATATGACATCCAAACAATGACAAAAAAACATAAAAAGGGCGTCAATGACGGCTGGGAAATGGCAATCGATGATAATTTTGGCGAGGTCAAGCCTTAGACGTCATTACTTGGACCTGGCTCTTCTTTATTCTTTAAATTTCTAAAAACTTGTGTGGGAAACTTATTAGAAATTAATTATTTTTTATACCAATTGCAGCTAAGCCAGGTGATTCAGTTGCAGCTGCCAAGTGGAGCGCATGGAATGGAAAGAAAGGGTTAGCTTCAAGCAAGGCCAAAGAAGAATACATCGCCAAAGTTAATACACTAGCACCAAAATACGCTTGAACAAATTTATTTAAATCAATCACTAGCTTTAAATATGTCATTGCCTATCGAAATAAAAGACACTTAAGAACATTAAAGTGGTATTTTATTTAATAAAATAAAATTATTTATTAAAGAAACTCAAAAGAAACATGTTCAATATTTCGGCAAGATTTTGATTGAACGATTTTTATTGATTAAGCAAAATCGAACAAAAATATGCTTGTGAACCGTGTTTTCGATTTAAGTTTATCAATTTTAGTTGAACAGAAACATTTTGATTCATTCAAAACTTATCATCATTAGTTAATTTTGAAGTTTGGGTGTGCTATTTTTGCGTTAACAAAAAGACGACAAATTTGTATTAAGTTGCCTAAAAGTATTGTAAGTATATTAATTTGCCTAATGCTCGAGACAAGGCTTTAGGAACCATCAAAAGAAACGAAGAAAGTAGTATCTCGGACTTCTGTAAAAAAATCTTGACCCAAAATCGACGTTTTCTCGAATTGCTTCCTGCAAAAAAAATTTTAAATCTCAAATTGCTTTTTGACAAAATGTCTCTGATTTGTCACTCGCAGCCATTTTAAAAAACACCATGGAATCAATTTTTGTTTATATGTGCAGAAATATTCGTTTGGATTTTGATTGATCAACTAAAATCGACGCAACGGGATTGATGTTGTATCCCACCGCTGCCACCAATGTCGAGGAATCAAACTGATGCGTTGATTTTAGAGACTGTTTGTCTTCCATACTTGTAGAATCCGTTTTTTCTTATTGTTGGTTTTTTTTTAATATAAATCACACTATTTTCTTCTTAAATACTTTATTTTATATATAAAAAAAAATTCAACAATTCAGAACCTACACTAACAATTAGTTTAAAAATACTCGTAAAATTAGCTATAAAAATCGCCGACTGTCTCTGGCTGTGTGTTTACCACTTACCCCAGCGGCGTAACTTGATACAGTTACAACTTTCTGAAAACTAATATTATAATCCAATTAAATATTCTAGGCTGGGACACAACATATCCTCCCTTAATGAGAGATTTCATGAGGTGTAAGTGACATAAAATCTCAAAAACAGAAAAAGTTTAACATAATTAATTAGTATGGTATAACCCTGTATAACGAAGATGAAATGAATATAAATTTTTGATATAGAAAATATGTATGGATATAAGTTTTGACTAATAATTTTAACTAACTTATACTATATCTAGTTATAAATCTAAAATAATAAAAACGTAATGTTTGATGTTAAAAATACTTATTGTAGATAATTGTAATGTATGATTACGTTAAAATGTAGAGGTACAACACTGAGCCATCACTGACATGTTGTATGAACAAACCTTTAATATTAATTTCAAAGTGTTTGTAGATACAAATAAATAAATAAATATTTTTTCTTATAAACGGTAAATTGGAAATAGCTACTAAATTTACGATGTCTACGCAATCAGAACTAATTATGATATTATGTTTTTGGTTATGAAATCAGAAAACCTTTTTGCTTATTAGGAATCTCCCGAATTTCTTAATTATATGCACTCATTCTAGTTCATCTGTACCGGGAACAATTATTATTAATTATAAACTGCTTAAAATTCTTTCTATTTTAGTTTACAAAACATGCTTATATTTTTTTCATTTGCAAAAGACATTACTTAATACAGTGGCGGCACCGAATTTTTTTCAAGTAAAGATCTATAGTAATAAAAGTGTGTATTTATTATTTATTAGTTTGATAAATGGAGTTTCATATATATACGTAATTCAAAATAATTTTTTGTTAGTAATTTTTACGTTAATTAATGTAACTTATATGTCGAGGTAGGTATTCCGCCACTGTGTATAAAGCTATCGCAAATGACGTCTGGATATGTTGTAACTCATTTGTCGTTGCTAATAATACAGAAAATGCGTAATGAAACAATTTAAAGGATGCGTTTTATAAATGGTGATAACAAAGACAACTATACAGAGTGTTCTCATCATCTTCAAAACTAGTGAACGTTCGTAATATGATATGGGAGGGGGGAAGTTAATCACCGCAACCTTATAGATCTATTGTGTCCCCCTTTCTTGAGTTATAACTCATCATACAGTTTCAGGGCTTAGACAAAAGCCAATATCTGAGACGGTTTTAGAGAGGTTAGTTCTCCATCTCCGATATCAGTCGTATACCAATGGTTGTCTCGGCGTACTCGAGGTGCTCTGGTGTTTCCCCATTTTCCCCACAGAATCTGTATTCGCCGTTGTTTTTAGCTTCAATCTACTGCACTGTTCACTCATGGGCCTGTTCCCAGAAGAATCCCTGATTAGTGAGCGCGTTTCTTATTGGTTGAAATGTGTAGAAACCAGACTAACAATCAGGTTCCTATGCATTTTAACCAATGAAAAACGTGCTGACTAGTCAGTGATTCCTTCTGGGAACAGACCTCATATCACCTGTGACGTCATATGACATACAAAAAAATTTCCATATTGTTCAATTGCCACTAATAAAAAAGACCTAAAATCTTTGAATAAGAAGCCTAAAATAGGAAAGAATTAGGACATAACCCCAAAAGTTATGTCAAATCATCGAGCTTGACGTTTGAAAAATTATTTTCACATTTATTCTATGTCATCAGCTTGCCGACCAATAAATGGTGCCGTTTATCACCTGTGACGTAGTGACCAATCTGCGCAATATCATACCTTGGTTTCTATGTATCATGGTGTTCATTCAAGGAGACAATGTCTAGTATTCTGTTAAAAACCCCGTAACAATCCGAAGATTGTTCTTACTTAAATCCATGAAATTCTTTGATTTTTCTGGGGCGTAAATCGGAAAAATTTATTTGTGTCTTAGACCATTGGACGATTCCCATTGCAGGCTACGGAAGGAGTCTTCCAAGTTTTTGTGTTCTGGTCCAGTTAGTGGAGTGTTCGCTTCTTTTCTAGCTAGATCGTTTTCTTTTTCATTACCAAGAGTAGGAGGACATTATTTTCTTTGCCTAATTTGTTCAGATCCTCTAGGCATTCAACTCAGAAACTAATTTATATAAATTGCTCAAAATGAACAGTTTGCTTCATTTTAAAAGGTACCGTCCTCTATTCCAAAAGACAGTCCTCTTTTTTATCTCACTATGCTCTTTTCTCTCGCGAATCGAAAACGTCATGTTTTTTACTTACCAAACTCGAAATATAAAAAACGTTCTCCAACAAGCAAAATTTATTGCTGGAACATTGCCAAAACTTCGCAAAGCAAGGTGTAACATTACTTTTTTCATTGTAGGAAGGTTTATGCAAGGTTTCAGGGTAGCTTAATCTTCCGCCAAATAACATTGCAGTGCAAGGTTGCATTTCACAATATTATTGAAACGTTGCTAATGTAACGTTAAAGAAAGTACTTTGGGATGTATTAGCAATATTGTTAATTTTACGTCAATTGGTAAAATTATATTATTAATTATAATTAACTGGCTTATTTCTAAAATAATATAGCAAAAAATATATAATGTTTGCAATAAAAAAACCATTTCATTCATCAGAGGGAAAATATAAAAATCAATTAATGAAACAGTTTTTTCTTGCGAATATTAGCAATTTTATGCAATTTTATGTTAACAATAATACATCAGTAATAGGTTATAATCAACAGAAACATTAATGGGTATTAAATTGTAGACTTTCAGATAGGTATAATATACTTTTACTAATATTGTATTGATGAAAAACATAAACAATATTGATAAAAATATGTTGGTATATCTCTATATCCATTGACATGAATTGAAAAATTAAAAATGCTCGGTAAATATATCCCTACCAAGAAAGTCGAATTTGTCAAACAAATTGAAAAAAAAAACAAATACAAATTAGAAATTTATCACTTACTTGTTTCAAAAATATCAAAAATACTGTCAAGTACTGAGAACTGAGAACTTACTGATCTTTTCGGCTGCTCATTAATGAGTTGAGTAATCCCTTATTTAAATAAGGGATTACTCAACTCTGACCTCCGAGTCGAATTTCTAAAAAAAATCTTAAAGTTGAATGTCTGAAATAATACAAAATATATAGGTACAGTATAAACATTATATTTCTTATTCAAAAATACAAAAGGAAAGTATAACATTAAATGTATGTAGAAGGAACATCAAACTTATATTTTAATTGATTTTTTGGATCTTTCATATTTTGTCTTGGCATGTTGAATTGTCTTATTCATGGTTTCAAATTCCTCTTCGGTAAAGTTTTGAAATCTATATCCAATCATTTCTAAATTAGTAAAAATAAAAACAATCAGTTGTAATAAATAAAAAGCAATGAGAAACTCTCTCTTGTGACAGCAATCTTTGAGGCCCCTTGATGTCCTTATTTTAAAAATTTGGAATAATTATAACATCATTAAAAAATATTATTGAGAATAATTAATACTGAATATTATTTGTGATTTTATCATTAGATTGATATACTCCTATCCTGATTTTATCTACTTCAATTTTCAGTTGGCTAAAAGCTAACCTAAAACTTAAAATTTAGCTTAATAACAAACTAAACTAAACAAAATTTGTTATACTTATTCATTGCTAAGTATTATTAAAACACACATAATAATAAAATTATACTTACATTTACATTCATTAAAATCTCATTCGAAAAGCATAAAATGTGATACCCAGAAACATAAAAAAACAAGTGCGTTAACCTAACCTAACTTCTTATACCGTATGATCGAAAAAAAAGACGTCAGCGATGGCTATGAAAAGACAATCGCTGTCATTTTATACGGGGAATGTGATCGATATTCATTTTCAAGCCAACTAGACGCCGTTTTTTTCGAACCTATCGTATATTTGTTATATTATTAATTAATATTAACTTGGCGGTATCTTTCATTTGAATCTTTGTTGCAATGTTGCCGAAAAAACGTTTTAATCACCATTCAAAAAGAATGTTTCTGTAGCAAGGTTTCATCAATCACGACACAACATTTAGAAATCAACATTCCAAAGCAATCTGTTTAGGGATTGACTGCAATGTTGCAAATGTAATGTGAGGTTTTTTGCTTGGTGGGTCGTGTATCGTGACAATGATTTAAAAAATTGTTAATTTGTGTCTTTCACTATACTCCCACTCGTTTGTACAGAAAAGAAGTCGAAGAAATATTTATGTAAAATAAATATTTGTGGAAGCGATAAACATGTTTAACTATTTTATGTTTACTTACTGTTGGTTCATGCCCTGAAAAAAAAATTTTTGTTGAAAATGGTTTGTTTTATTTTAACAAGTTTTGAGTATAAATATTGTTAAGAAAGTAAGAAAAACCATCAATCGCATACTATTGACATAAATTTTTGATAAATTCTAGATATTTGGGCGAGGCGTCACCTGTGCCTCTTTTTTACCCTCTCGTCCTCTATTTTTTATTTTGAAAGTTGGCAACCCTATTTTAAGGAGCTCTTTAAAAAGTTTCAAATAAATTTTTCTGTAAAATAAAATCGGGAAAATGTATTCATCATTTTTAAAATTTAGAAGGTATGTTTGGATTGACACGGTATTATAATATGAAGGGTCCAGAGAAAAAAACATGATAAGCGCCATTTTACTACATACAGTTAGTTATTTTACAACGTATATTTACAGTTAGACCCACGATAATATTGTAAAACCCTAAAATTAAGAAATTGGAGCTTATCAAGTCTTTCCCTATAGAACCTTCATGTATTAATACTTTATAAAAAAACCTTAAGATATAAGAAACGCCCGCTATATTATAAAACATTCGAAACTTAACCTTAGACTCTAAGATTAATCAAATTATTTAACGTTATTTTTAACAAACAATCGCGACTTCTAGCGATAATGTTTGTAAATAATTTGTTATAAATAGGTCCCAACAAAAGAAAATCTTTTTAGTTTTTGGCGGGAGATACTTACAGTCAGCTTCGATCAATTCAAAATTTGATCATGCCGAATACGGACATACATGTAAGTTTATTTATTCTTAATATTTTTTTAATATTTATTTGCATAGAATGGTGAATTATTCTACCCAAGAATTTTTTAAATAGTGATTTTTTATAATTTTTAGTTAATTTTAATGTTTATATATTTTTTATAATTTTCATATCATTTTAAAGATTTCAAGGTTCTTCTTCTGTGGAAGACCTTCTAATAATTATTATATGAGTATAATATTTTCTAATTTTTCCTTAATAAAATTATAGCATAACAAATACAGTTTTTTTGCTATAATATTTCTCATTGTATTTTTTAAGAAAACTAAAAATTTCTGTCCCAAATTGTTAGAAAGAATACGATCGAAAAAACAACGGCGTCAAAGACGCCTGTGGAATTACAATATTACAATCGATGATAATTTTAGCGAGGTCAAGCACTAAGTGTCGATACATGGCCTGTACTGTTCCTTATTTTTTAATTGCGCTAACTTAATGTTAATTTTTGACAAGTTTTACATCAATTTTTAGTAAACGAAGTCTAGAGACTGAACGCGCTAAAATGATCATTGATTAAAATTCCCAGCCGTCTTCGACGCCGTTTTTTTTTTCGATCATAGGGTATTATTGAGTAATAACATTTTCTAGATATTTTTTAATATAATTTCAGAAAAATACGGAACTTTATGAAAGATACAATGCCTGTTTTCAAGTTTCGAAAAAGAAAGGATGCCCTCCTTCAGTATACGATGGTTTAGAATTATATGGTCTTATTAAACAGTCATCTAAAGGTGATATCAATAAAAGTAAGTACATATATATAATTAATTATTATTAATTAATATTATATCCTGAAATATTTTATTAAATTAATATACTTATACTATAACACTGAAATAGAAATAAATAAAAATGTCTTTCTCTTATTGATACATTAGGTAGAAAATCAAAATATTTGAATTATACAGGGTGCGTCAGGAAGTAGAATTCCAACCAGTTGATATATTTTTTTCTAAAACACTTTCTGAATGCCTTGTTTAAGGCCAGTATTACACTATGAAATTTCTTTGTCAAAGATTTTATTTTGTCACAGAATTTGACAGTGTAATATGTGTGATTTTATAAAACATTGTATATTAACACTGTCAAATTTTTCATCAAATACCTTTTATAAAAGAGCTTTGACAAAGAAATTTGATAGTGTAATAGCGGCCTAATACTGGCCTAAGTATATTATTTTTTAACTATAAAATTTGTTTCTTAAAGATTTTATTTAAAAAATATTTTATGAAATATTTGACTGTGGTAATATGTGTGATTTTAAAAAATGTCTATACCTATGTGGTGGATTCATCTTTCCAAAAAAAAATTCTTTATGGGTATTTCGCCACTGCACTGCAAGAAAATCTACACAGTAAAAATAGAAATTAATGTGTGATTTTATAAAATATTGTATATTGACACTGTTATTTTTTTTGAAATATCTTTTATGAAAGATCTTTTACAAAGAAATTTTATAGTGTAACTATAGCGTGTACCAGCGACTTCGTTCGCGTCGAATTAATCATTTGTAATGGTGATCATAAAGCAAAGCAAGAATTTCCATTAACATACAAACTGGATAAAATTTTCTCACATTTATGTCAGCATGAGAAGAAACAATATGGCGATATTATTATATAACTTGGTAATATTATTTCATCTCGTTGGAATTTGACTTTCGAAAAATTCGTTTGCCAAAAATAAGCTTTTTACGTCAAGCAGTTTAAGCAGAATGGTGGTTAAGAACCCAACTTTTTGGAACACCCTGTATTATTTTTTAAAAAATTTCAAAATATGTAAAAAAACCAAATAATTATGCTTGTCCAAGCGTTTTCCCGAAGGACTAACCGTTTTTTAAATAACAAATATTGTAATATTTGAAGGGCGTTTTCACCCTCTTGGAATTTAAGATTCGAGAAACCCCTCCTTATCGAACCTCTACACCCCACAGTCAATCCGCTTGCCAAAAATCAGCTTTAAACGTCAAGCAATTTAAGCAGAATCGTGATTACTCAATGGTCATATTTTATGAAACATTCTGTATAAATTTATAAAAAATCTTAAAATATGTAAAACAACAAAATAAAATATACGTGTTTAAAAGTTTTTCCGAAAAACTCACCGGCTTTTAAATAAAAAATATTTTTAAATTTGAGGGATAGTTTCACCCCCTTAGAATTTGAGTTTCGAAAAATCCCTTCTTATCGAACCTCTACACCCTAGAATCAAACTGTATGTTAAAATTGAGCTTCTTACGTTGAGTGGTTTGAGCAGGATCGTGATTAATCAGTATGTCAGTCACTTAAGGATTTTATATATTAGTATAGATAACGGCCTAATACTGGCCTAAGTGTACTTATTGTTACGTTTTTTGTCGGTTCCGTGTGGTTAGAAAGTCTATTTTTTTAAACACAATTTATTAACGTAACAAAACAATATCGATATCGATAAAACTATTTAAAGAAGTATTTATTTACAACTTATTTACTATTTATCTAAAAGGAATTTATTTTGAATTTAGCGCGGCAACTGTACGCGTCTCGACCGATCTGTTTGTTTCTGTCCTCCTCAGGCCCCAGACGTCGCGTCGGGCTATATATGAGAAAAACGCACAGTCCAGATTTTACTCAAATGTTTTTAGCCGCTGTTCTCTGTCTCTCCAGATTATTCCATTCGTTCTCGAAAGGGACCGGGGCATATTAGTCAGGTTAGGCCGAGTCCACACGGGTCCGCAACATTATTTATACATTGTTATTTATTTATCCAAATCTACATCATTGCCCGAGCTGTTTTTTGATTAAATGTGACTTTTCAGGTAAACCTAGTGCATTTCATGTTGTCGAAAGAGCGAAATGGGAAGCTTGGCACAAAAAGAAAGGATTAACCAAAGAACAAGCCATGGAGGAATTTATAAGAACTGTCAAAAAAGCCTATTCCTGTTCGTGTTGAAATTAAATAATTTAATTTAGGGTCTTGAAACTGCGGGATGTGAGGTTGTCATTGCACCACCGCATAACAGAAGATTTTCTGAAGCTTGAATCTAAAATGTGGGTTTTTAGTTTGTTGTAAAGATAGGCAAGTGGTATCTTAGCACAGCTCAGCTGTGTAAGGATCTGTTCGTGTCAGATCGTCATGGATTTCGTTGTGCGGTTATATTTTCTCGGTCAGCATCTGGGATGGTTCTGTAGATAGAAATGAAGTAAAGTTCAAGTATGAAGTGTATGTCTTCAGGTAACCCAATTTCGGAGATAAGGGGTGTAGAGATTTCATTTCGATGGGATTTTCAAATAGTCTGGAGTAACTCAATGTTGGATGAGGGTGGTGTCTGGAGTTGCATGAGAGATTTGGATTTTGATGTCAATGTAACTCCTATGAGTGGGGGCCACCTACATGTTTTTTGGCTGGTTTGAAGGTAATAACTGGAGTCATTGAGCTGCGGGTAAAGAGTAATAGATTCGTGAAGGTCATGGTAAAATCATGCAGTGATATTGGTTTCGAGATGTTGGGATCAGGAGTATCAATAGACAAAGTTGAATTAATTAGTTATTATTGTTATTTAGTTCTTTCCAGTGAAACAGGAAAATAAAAAAATAAACATGCTGACTAAATGGTTATTGAATGGAATCATGGAAATTTGGAATGTTTTGTTAGCAAGGCTTCAATGAGGAGACTGTTTTACCATCGTTTTGAGAAGAGTTATGATTAATGAAATTAAAGAATTTCTCGATTTATTGTTTCAGTTAAATAACTATGTATTCAGCATGTTTATTTTTCGTCGAGTAATGACATGTATTGACTATTTCCATTCTAAATATCTTGGAACGGTTGCTCGTGGCGATTTTTAAGAATTGAACGTGATGAGATGTATGTTCTTTTGCATCGGTGGTTTTATGCTGGTGCGGACCAAAGTTATTATATTCAAAACAGTTAAAACGCATGTTGGTGGCGCCTTCTAGAAGTAGGAATCATGTTGACATCAAAATAAAAAAAAAAAAAAAAAAAACAATTTTCATCAAATCGACGATTATTCGAAATTATTATAAAATGAAATAAAATGAAACTACATATAATATCAACTAACATCTTAGAGTTATACATTTATACCGAACTACTATTTTATTGCGAATATGCTGCTGGTTCGGAATACGGTGGTTCGGACCATAATGTTTCGTTTGACAAGGTCTCTTGGTCAAATCATTCGGGTAACCGTTCTCATAATGTTGGAATGTAGCTAAAATGGGACTGTGATGAGGGGCTGAATGAGATGTGTGAATGAGAGACTTATTCCTAGGCTTTAGGTTGACTTATGTAATAATTTGATATATGTATGTAATAAGTGGATTTTTGTGATCTGATTCATTATGTCATTTCTTCATTATTACGGGTATATTAACAGGTGTGCATTCACACTATTATTCTTTCACAATATTATTGTTAACAATGTAGCCTTCGAAGTTAATGAGAGGTTTGGTTTTCAAGTTTTAAAGTCCATCTAATGTTTTACCTGTCATTCTTATTTGTTCAGTAAAAACGTACAATGCACCGTGTGTGTAGTCTGTTGAATTTCATTTGTGCCTATGTTTAAAATGTTATTAAAATGAAACCAGAAATAAATCGATTGAGAAACAACAGATAAAGTTATTTATAGAGATTTCATCGATTTTACTGAAAATAATTATGTCCAGGCAAAGATTAGGAATTTTAATCTTCGGAAAAGGATTCATCAAATTGACAGCAACTAGTAGATAAGAGACAGTTTAGTTATCTGTCAGATAATGTTATTTATTAAAATGTTATTTTGAAAATGGTTTCAACAAATAACAATCTAGACTTTGTCAGTATGACTGTGTTGACTTTTTAAAAATGGTTCGGAGTCAATGGGTATGATGATGCTGTTCAAACTTTTGGTTGCATTAATAGGGGGTCTGATTTTTAAATTCATTGTGCAACAATGGGCATATTCAACAAATTAACGATGAGAGCTGGAATTCAAATTCCTTCAGAGATTCGGGTGGTGCCAAATGGAATGGGGTGAATAGAAACATAGTGGTGAATAGAAACAACATTTCTGAAAAAATCAAATCACGATTAAAAATGTTCAAGAGTAAAGGAGTCGACATATCTAATTTTCTATCATTGGTATTACCTGATAAAGATGTAAAGCTATATTTTTATCTGTGGCGGCACTGTTTCTGTCAATCAGCTCATCAATAAATGTGAGATCGATTTATCACCCATTTTGTATGGCTTTTATCAAATGGAAATGTTTATTTTCAAAGAGTGTCCATGGCTAGTGCATGTGAAGTTCATATTATGTGTTTTCAGTCCTCAGTTGATGATTCTAATCAGCTGTATGAGCTTCTAGAACATAATGGTTCTTATTAAATAAAACCTTTTGGGTTGTGGTGAATGAAACACTGTTCCTATTCTCATCTTGTTTCTATGGAACATTTGGATTTATTGTGCTTAAATAAACAAGTCTATTTATAGTACATCTGCTGGATCTGTCTATGAAGGGAATGAACAAGCTCAGATTTCAGCAAGGTCCACTATTTGCCATTTAAAGATGAAACAAAGGGGACATTCGAGGTGATTGGCTGGTTGTTGGTCTTTTTGTAAGAAATAAAAAAGGGCTTGGTTCTCTTCAGATAAAATGGGAAGGTGGGGCCATATTGGAGCAATGACTTTGAGGGAGGGTTTTTGTCATGAAGGATTCAGGGACTTTCAAAGGATGGTATGGATTGCAATGTTCAGATGTCTCTGTGGTTAAATATGCAAACTGATGGGGCTTAATCCTCTGGAAGGGAGTTTAGAAGGGGCCAAAGGTGACTTTGATATAAGATGTAGAATAGGTTTACTATATTTTTGTGTTCATAATAAATAAATCTTTGATTAAAATAGTTATTATTCAATGTTAATTATTGTTAAACCTATGTGTAATAATTGCTGTTTCATTATAATTAATATATAAATAAAAAAAAAAAAAAAAAAAAAAAAAAAAAAAAAAAAAAAAAAATAAATGTTATTTTTATTTAATGTTATGCATATGTTCAATAATCAAATTATATGTGTACGCAAAGAACAAACAAGACCCATGTTTCTGGGGTGTTCGGAGATTATGCCATTTGTCAGCCGGTATCGGCTGATGCAGAGCTGTTTCCCATTCCCACACACACACACTTTTGCTCTTT